GTGTGTGTGTGAGGCAGCTTCTGGCCATCCTGAGGGCGTGGGAGGTGGGGTCATTCCCAGAGTGTCAGAAACTCACATATTCAAGATCAGGGCCAAATGTGCCCACTCTTAGCAGTTTTAGAACCGATTGCGTGCTCGTTCATCCAGCCCCTACCCTTCGTCAGCACAGGGCCAAGAGCCAACAGGACTGCTGTGCGTTTGTCCAGCCTGGGGCAGTCCCTTGGGTGTTGAAGGAGGAGGTGGCGGTGGTGATGGGGAGGCCAGGGTAAGCGGGGACTCCCTGGCAAGTTTGTCGGGGGGGGGGGGGGGGGGGTGTGGCCAGCGGCAATCTGGGAGCAGCCTGGGCCTCCCGGCGCCTCTGTTCCAGGCACGGCCAGGCAGTGGCCCTGTCCACCCACTTTTGCTCCAGACCTTGAGTCGAGGCTGCTGGGGCGTACCCTCAGCACAGCCCTGTGGTGAGGTCCCCTCTCAACTGCTGGGGGCCCAACTCCGGGCTTAGGCAGAGCTGGAGGCTTGGGGTCCATTTTACAGGCGAGGAAGCCGAGGCAGGGTCAAGGAAGCTGCGCAAGGTCAGGCAGATGGTAAGAACCAGCTCCCATGAGGAGCCCTGTTGACAGCAAAGGTGTCACTTGGGAGGGGGCGCCTGGTGGAAGCAGCGTTTGCCTGCCTAAGGCCAACATGGATCCGGGATGGAAGCCACCATCCCCACTCCCACAGGAGCCCTTGGGTCTGATCTGGCAAAAGAGAAGTTAGGCTACCAGCTCCCCCACCCCCCACCCCAGAGCACAGGGACCAGATCTTGCTCATCTCTATGTCCCAGAGTAGGCACGCAATAGACATTTGCTGACTGGCTGAAAGCAGTTCAACCCTAGCTCTTCAGCCTGGCTTCTTGACTTCCTGTGCCCCAGGGGACCCTCTTAGCACCTTTATTGTTAATCCCTGCTAGTCAGGGTGTTGCCGGGTCTGTCCTCTCCTCAACATCTCCCTTCAGTTGTGGCAACCTGCCATCCCACTCCCTTTGGCGACCCAGTGCATGAGGGACAGCAGAGGAAAGTGAAAGCGTGGCACCTCCAGGGCAGAAAACTGAGATCTGGCCTGGAGACCAGTGTGTCTGAGCAGGAAACACTGGGCGGCTAGCTCCTGGATGCTCTGCCTTGGCCGTGTCCTTTAGGAGTGACCTTGAGGGGCTGGAACACTAAATGTGAACTCAGAGTGTTAGTTCTTCCATTTTACAGATGAGGAAACTGAGGGAGGGTCAAGAGAGCTGCCCAAGGTCACACAGCCAGTGAGCAAGAGCCAGGATGGGAACCTGTGGTCGTCTGATTTCTGGGTCACATTCACTCCTCTGCAGAGCTGCCTCCTGCTACAGGGGTGGTGGCTCTCTGGTCCTCACCTCCTTCCCCCGGGTACCAGTGTCCCTCTCTCAATCATCTGCACCCCACACAGGGACCCATCACCCCAGCCTCCTCCCATCAGCATCCTTTCTTTGAGGAAACCGAGGTCAGACCTGCGCCCTGAGCCCAAGGAGGATGAGGTCAGAGCATTACTGGGCTGGTGCAGATGCTAAATAATTCATGCGGCTGCTGTGAGCAGGGGCTGCAGCTTCCAGAAGGGCCCAGAGTGCAGACAGCAGACAGGAAACAGTCTGGTCACCCGCACCTGGGCCTGACTGCGTGTGACACATCCCCTGGGGCTAAAGAAAGTGCTAGGTTTTTGAGAACGGGTTAGAGGGCTGAGACCCCTACTAGCTGTGTGACCATGGGCGAGTCACTTAACCTGTTTCTTGGACTTTAGTGAGCCGAGGGGCCCTGAATAAGTGTGGGAACATATGTGTAAACTGAATGCTGGATGTGGCACTTGGTGGGTCCTCCTGACCCGGGGGCGGTGTTCATCATCCCTTGGGCCCAATACGCCTTCCCACGAGCCCAGTATTCCACCCACTGGTGCCCCCCAGCATGCCAGGCAGCAGGACTGTGATAAGGGTGGTCCCCGTCTCCCAGCCCATCCAACCTCATCCCCAGGCCTTGGGTTTGGGGGGAGACTGGCCTCGGGCTTGGCTGGTTTGCGAGGCCTGGTTTCCCCTCTTAGAATAAACCCCCCATCGAGAAAAAGGTTCGCTGGAATCAAAGAGCCTTTGTTGGTCTAGAATGTAGGGAGTTGGAGTCAAAATATGTATTCTTAATAAATCCCAGGAAAATTCTTAACGAACACACGGATTGAGTGGTAGTAATCCCTCACAAATGGAGAGCAGGTCGTTTAATTCTGAGCACTTGTGAAGTCCAAACTACGCTGCTTTGAGCTACAGTTTGACAGAAATGGGTGTGGAACTTACCAAGGTGGTGGCCTGGTGTTCCCTGAACAGGGTCTGGCCTATTCTGGTTTCTTCCATTCCACACTTGTTCACGATGCCGCTGGACCACCCTTCTCTGTCTTCTCCACTTGGCCAAGGACCGGAGTAAGCAGGGCCCCAGGGTAATCCCGAATCTGGGCAGGGCTGCCTCTTTTAGGAGCCCATCCCTCCCTGAGCCTCACCCGCAGACCCCCAGGGGACTCAGATCATAAACAAACCCGCATTCACCCCAGGCTGCTCCCCCAGGCCGCCTGGCGCTGCCAGGACTCTCGTGGGACTTTCACCTTGAAAAGCGAGAGAGGCCCTTTATTCACTGTAAGGGATCTTGGGGCCACTGGCCTAGATCAAGAGAAGTCTGAGGCACACAGAACTCCCTCTTCTCTTCCATCAGAGGGAATACTCCACTCATGGAACTGAGCGAGCCAGTCCAACGGATCGGCGAATGGTGGTGGTGGTGGGTGGTCACACTCGAGTGTACATCCTACTTCATTCGCAGGGCCTATTCACCCAATTTAGCTTTGGAAAAATACTCCAGTGACAAAGGCACAGGCCGCTGGGGCTGGGGGTTAGCACTGGAGAGCTGTGGGACCGACTACAGGGTGAAGTCGGACACAGCCCAACTCGCAGCCGCTGCTCTCGTCTCGGCACCCAGGGGTGTCTGGGCTGAGGTGTGCCTGGGCACACCTAGGGAGGGTCCCCTTGGACCAGCCATCTCTGTCTGGTGGGCGAGGGCAGGACAAAGCTGCAGAGTTCCCACGAGTCTGGAGCTATGCACATCGCTATCCTTGGTGCCATCATCACGTAGGTCCCAAGGATGCTCCCCACTTCCCTGGATGGCGATCAGGACCGTCTGGAGCAAGTCCCCAGTGAGGAGAGCAATGCCAGCACACCGAGGTGCCCAAGGTGAGGTAGAAACCTATACATCTGCCCATCAGGAAATGGCACAATCTTCAGGCCCAGATGCCACTCATGTAAGGGGCCTCCCCAAGTCCCACGAGTCTCCATCTTGGGAGAGGCCTAGATGCCAATGCATCTGGTCCAGGACTCTCAACTGGTCCTTGAGAATACAGCCCCAATCCCTGCCTTGTGTCTTGATGGGACCCAGTCCATTGAAGGTGGGGAAGGCGTGGGGTCATGGCGCAAAGGGGCTCAGATCCAGGACCCACAAGCCGTGAAGGGAAGCAGTGTCTGTCCAGGCCTTCAGGAAGCTCTGCCCCAGCTCAGTGGCCTCCTCTGGTCCAGGTGGTGGCAGGAGGCCTTGGTGAGAAGGGCAAGGGCCAACTTCTGCCATGGCTTGGCTCCAAAGACTCGGAGGAGATTCACCTAGGCCCAGAGCAGGACAAGCAGATGCTGGACACCAAAAGATGGCCAGGAAGGCCCATGGTGTGAAGACAGGGGCACCTGAGGATGGCCATCTGGAGAACCACAGCCTAGGGACACAGGGAGTGTGAATCGGGGAGAGGGTTCAAGACAGGGATGGAGGCAGGCCCGGGGGTCTGCAGATGGCTCCTTGTGGCCTCAGTCACTTGGGGACCAGGAGAGGCTGGGCTGGGCAGCAAAGGGGGTGGCCACATGCCTCAGGGTTTCACAGGGCCCCCGACTCGGTCCACTGCTCCAGGTTGGTAGCCTCCAGCCCTCCCAGCTCCAAGGTGCCGGGTGGGCCCTGCTCAGCCTGGACACAGAAGAATGAGGACATCAGGGCGACGTGCAGTCCAGGGAAGAGGGCGTCTACCATCTCGTTTTATTTTGTGGGGACTGAGCCTAAAGTAACCAGAAAGAACAAGAGTCAAAGGGGACCCTACCGCCTGGGGCCCAAGCACTGGTTTTTACTAAAAAATTGTTTTGAGTACCCAGGGGAACTGGTGCAAATTGACATAGAGGGAAAAGTTTGGGAGAAGTTGGATTTTTTTCTTCCGGCAACCTTTCTCTCCCTTCCAACAGAAACATTTTTTTTTTCCTACAACGGGTGTCAGAAAATAGCTTCTGGCAAGTTGGGGAGAAACATTCCCAAGCCTGGGAGGGGCGGAGAGCCTTGAGCCAGTGTCCAAGGGTCAGGAGCCCAGGCCACTGCAAGTCAGAGTCTCGAGAAAACCTAGCTGGTCCTGGTGTGGCCACTTCGAGGCTGTGTGGCCTCTCTGGTCAGTGTGCTCACCTGTAAGGGGGGGGCCAGAGAGCTGTACAGCTAACCTGGTCCCAAGGCCCCGTCTAACCCTAAAATGGTAGGGTTCTGGAATTTCACCTCTGGAAAGGGGTGAGAATAGTAGCCTTGCCCATATTTTGGGGCAGCCACGAGGATTAAAATGAGCCGATGTAGAAAGGCTCTGTTTACTGTAAAGGATGAGTAAATGGGCATTTTAATTCCTGCCCAGGAGTGAAACCAACCAGAACGTGGCCCAACCTTCCCACCTTTGTAAACCCACTCTGTAAACCAGCCCAGTCCTCTCAGCCCTTCCCTCTCCCACATATGCACAGAGTGATCTAACAGTGCAGCCACCTCGTCCCCTGAAGGATCTTGACCACCGTGGCAGCTGAGAGGGGCTAACGTTCGCCCGTCTCCCGCACACACACACTCCGCTGAGCAGCCTGCTGGTGGACCCGCCTTCGCTGCTCGGTCCCCGCATACGGCCAGTGGAGGGGGGTCCCAGAGGAAAGCTGCCCGATTTTAGACAAGCCCAGATGCTGGACGAGACCCTAGACAGGAGCCAGACCCAGAAGTTCATTCTGATCACGACACGGACACAGAGACTCAGCTGAAGAATCTTTCCCTGGGCAGTGGTGCCAGCTACACGGCTGCCAGAAGGAAAATCCAGCAGCAGTGGTCAACGGGAGCTGGATGTGGAGGCAGAGGAGAAAGGAACCAGCCCCAGTGACAGTGGAGGAGCGGCTCATCAGAAACCGAGAGCCCAGGTCAGAAACGACATCCCAGAGAAAGGGTTAATAAAGCAGAAACGTCTTTATTAGGCACCTTGTTCCTCACAGAGGAGCAAGACTCAGGACAGACACGCCTGCGAAAACTCTCGAGGTTACAGGAATCTCTCCAAAGACTCCAGAGGACGCAGGTGCTGACCGGCCGCCACCCCAAGAAGAACACTATTTGGCTGGAGCGTGACTGCCGGAGGTGACCCTGGCATGAGGCTGGGGTTGGCTCCTCGACTCCACAAACACTGAGGAGTGGGTGGGGGGCACCCGGGACACCCACCCGAACATTGGCAGACAGGGAGGGCCTCCGGGCTGAGGCACAAGCTGCATTGAGCCAGCGAGGGGGCGGGCAGAGAGCTCAGGGCTCCTGGGCAGTCCCTCACGGGGTCCCGAGGGCCCTCCCCAAATCTGCATGCCTCCTGGCGCCAGCTCAGTCCCACACGTAGGGGTTTCTAAAGACCTGAGAGTTCTTCCCGTCTTTCGGCGGTGTGGCGGCCTGGTGGCTCCGGGCCACATACATGTCTTCGGCCCGCAGCGTCGAGTTGGCACTGCCCATCACCTGGCTGTTGGCAGTGGCCCGTGGGAGGATGACGTCGTAAGCTCCTTCGGACTGGAAGGAGGAACAGGCGGTCTCACAGCCAGGTTCCGCCAGGGCGGAGGCACACACGCTGCTTCCTGCAGGGCTGTGCCTGCCAGCTCCCCTCCCTGTCCCCCGAGCTGGGCCCCGGGGGAGGCCTGGGATGGACGACTCCACCTCTGGAAACGGAGGGGCTGCCCTCTGACCTCAAGCCCCTTATCCTACCCGGCCGAGGGCCAGGCCTCTAGGCTGGGGGATGAGGTCCCCGGTCACCTCCCACGGTCCTGGGGCTTCGCATAGGGCTGGCCCCGTTCAAAAGGATCCCCTTCTCAGGCCCCCTCCTGCTCTCCATTCCTCAGGGAAACCTCGGGGCCCAACGGAGGGCAAACCACACGGGGCTGCTCTCACCCGTCTGGGCTGCCCTCCTCCAAGACCCTCACCCGCCTCTTCCCAATGCCACGCCAGCACCAACAACATCACAGCTGCTAGTGTGCCTGCCCAAGGACACCCTCCTGTCAGGCCCTGGGCCTGTGCACACAGTCCTCATCTAGGAGTCTGGGCTGGCCAGTCTGATATGGAGACTTAAAACCCCAATTCTCTGCCTGGAACCAGGTTAGAGCTGCAGAGGTCCTGGTCCTTGTGGGTGAGAGACGCAGGCTGCGGGGCACAGAGGGTCTTGAGGCACCCGTCCCAGCTCCCACCCTGGAGGGAAGGCGAACTCCTGGCCCTGCCTGCCTTATCCCCATGGATGGAGCTGCCACCAAACCCTAGCTCCAGGGCCCCAGGTGGCCTTCAGTCAACTCAGACTCAGGTGCTCTCCCCTCCCCTTGCAGCTCCTGGAACATCTAAATCAGTGGTTCTCAAACTGGGGTGTGTGTCAGAATCACCGGGACTGTTGAGTTAAGCCACACCCACACCTAGCGGGGCCACACCCAGTGACGGGCTGGGAAATGCTGAACAACTTGGGGGAGGTGGGGGAGACCCAATCTGGAGTGTTTGCAGATTCCTGCGGGTGGTTACTCCCATCATGGCAGATTCCAAGATATCAAGGTGACATCACCGAAGAGATGCTAGTAACAGGCTCCCACCACACCAAGGGCCCCACCTGATTGGCATTTTTAGCAAGTTGCAGGTGATGGTAATGCAGGGGGTCTGGGGACCAGCTTTTGAGAACCACTGTATTAGATAAAATATCCCTTAGTCCTGGGGAAGCAGGACTCAGTGCACACAGGTCAGTGAGGGGTAGCAAGGGCGGGGCACCCTGGGGGGCCGGGGGCCACAGACCCTGCTCACCTCCTTCAGAGACTCCTGCCCACCCCCACTCATGGCCATGGCCTGCTCTCCACGGCCCGGCTGCAGGTTCAGGCTCAGGGAGAGGGAAGGGGCTGGGGGTGGAAGTTTCAGAAGCATTCGCTTCACCCTGCCCCCCAGGCTCCCAGCGGGGAGGGGGATGAGAACGCCGCCCTGCTGACCTCCCTCCTTCCTGTTCCCAGAGGCCTGCCAAGGAGGGTCACTGACCTCTCCCCACAGCGACTGCCAGCCCGGGAGAAGGAACATACATGGAGGGAATCTAACCCACCGTCTTCCTGTTCCCACCCCCCATCCCCTTGGCTAATGGAGCATCTGGTTTCCAGAACCCAGGGGAGGTATGAGTTCGAGAGCTGCTGCCTGCTGGTGGGGGAGGGGAGCCAAGGCCCTCTTGGGACAGCTGTGATTGGGGAGTAAATGCCTACCTAGACTTGCCATTTGGTCCTCTATCCCTTTGGGGGCCCCAAGAATGAGCCCACCTGGCTGAGACCCTCCTCTGTCCCTCCCTAAGCTGCTTACGTAAAGCTGGCAGCTCCCACCAGCTCAACGAGAGCTCTGCATCCATGTGGCCCCAGGCAGCGTGTGACACCCGGAAGTCACGGGCAGGGCCCACCGTGGTGCAGCTGAAGGCAGCAGATACATCAGCTCAAGGCAAGGGGCATTAGGAGCAGGGCTCTGGGTTCCCTGAGGCTGATGCACCAGATGGAGATACCTGCCTTCTCCCTGCCACCCCCGCCCGCCCACACTCCATCGGCCACACAGCCCTCCCCGCTCACCCACTGAGGCTGGGCTCTGTGGCCCACACTCACCGGGCCTTTGTGCATCAGGGCCATCTCGGTGGGCTGGTACACGCTGGTCAGCAGCTGCCCATTGTACCCGCTGTACGGTGACACCGGCCTCTTAGCTGCAAGAACACAGGGGAGCAGTTTGAGGACTGGGCTAACAGCTCCCTTCCCAGCCTCAAGCAAGGCTCCCCAGGGGACAGGGACAGGGACAGGGGCTAGGCTGGTCCTGGGGTAACATCTAACCCAGGGAAGGAGCCGGGCCAGCTTGGAGGTGCGAGTGTGGGTGTGGGGGCCCCTCCGGAGCCCAGCACCCCTTTGTTCGGATACATGGAGAGCACAACCCTGCTCACCTTCCCCAGGGCTTTCCTGCAGTTTGGGGCTCCCGCCCCCAGCTCAGAAAACCGCTTCAGTCAGCAACCTTCACATCCCCATCCGCCCTCCGGGGCCAGAGGCCAAGAGGGGCACACGGGCCCTCGGCTGCCTTCCAAGATGGCCAGCCTCCAACGCTGGCCTCTACCACTGTGGGCCCGCTGCCAGGCGCTGGGGTCAACACAGCAGAGACCCCACCGCCCGACTCCTCACGTCTTCGTGGGGCAGAGCTGGGTGCTGATTCCGCAGGATGCCACAACCCAGAGCCCCGGCAGGGGGACCGAACGCACATCCTGAGCTGTGGCCCCTTGGCAAGTCTCCAGAGCCACGTTCAGCTCCAGGAAGACTTCTTCCTCGTGCCTTCGGGCACGTTGGTTTCCCGATCTGTTCCACCCTGCTGGGCGCTTCCAGGGTGTCTGAGGAAAGCTGCTGACTAGCCCCTGGGGCCCAAGAGCCAGCTGGGCCGCAAGGGCAGGCCCAGCGGATGTCCATCTCCTGCAAGCTGATGGCTCCGCAGCTCCGAGGGACCACGACCCTACAGCGCTTCCTAAGCGCCGGGCTCACTCCATTGATTTTTCCATTTAGAAAAAAAATAAAAGCAAAAAAACCCCTCAGGGGCCCAGAAGTGTTTGCCTTGAGAGGACAAAGGCTGAGGATGACATGGCCCTGACCAACGGGCGCACGGTCAGGGCGGAGTGTGGGCGGCTGAAGCTCCTCCCAACACTTGTCCACAAGCCCCTCTTCCCTGCAGCTTCATCAGTGCCCCCCGTTCCCACACACACTCAACTGGGCCCACCCACCCTAGCACTCTGCCCTGGTGGGGAGCACTCAGTGGTTGGGGGAGGGAGCACTCAGCCCCGGTGGGCAGATCGAAGATCAAGGGCCCAGCAGGACAGGGTCACTCCCTTCCCCAAAGCAGAAATCCTGGGGATCTCAGTTTGTGGCAAAGAGGCAGAGAATTTGATTCTGGAACTTCCCCTGCCTCTGACTCTGGCCTCTGACAGAGGTCCCTGAGCCGGGGCTTGACAATCAATTAAGTGCCTTGAGTCCCCAGATATCTCCATCAGCACAGTCTGAGGTCAGGGTCTGGACGGTGAGATTGTGTCCCTGGCTTCTCTGGTCACTGCGGATGAAGGGGCCGTACATAGCCAGCAGGCTACGAAAGCAAGCGAGACGCACGCGACAGGACACATTAGGAAAGCGCCTGGCAGAAGAGGCACTCAATAAATGCCAGCGGTCCTCACAGTTAACAAATGCCAGAGAAAGACTCCTTCCTTGGGGGGCCGGGAGCTTGTCGGGCCAAGTCTCCGGGAGAAAGGCCACCGTCCCCTCCCCCCTCAACCCCCAAGCTGATCCCCACGCGGGGCTGGGCCCAGACTGCATAGGCTTCACCCCACTTTCTGCCTCTCCCGCCTCTGGGACGCCCTCAGCTCCACGCGCCGAGGCTCTGCGGCTGGCTGGAGCCCCCAAAGCTGGCTCCTAAGAAAGCGCCGGGCAGGAGCTTGGGGACCAGCAGGCTGGACAGTGGGTGCTGCTTAGATCAGTATGTGGCATGAGTGCTTTTATCAAAAAGAACAAAATTTTAACTGAAAAGACTTTTAAAGGAAACTAAGACAACTATGGCCACGTACATAATAGAAAAGCAAGTTCTGGAAAGATAATAATACCAGTAAAATAATAGTAATACACACAGCTAATAGCTACTACTTCCAGACTAACTGCAAGTGCCAGGCACAGGCACGAGTGGAATCCTCACGAGAATCCCATGACGCAGGATCCATTATTATCCTCATTTTACAAATGAGGAAACTGAGGCACGTGGAGGTAAAATACCAATCAACAGTCCTGGGGATGGAACGGGAAGCAATGGGGTAGATCTGGGGAGACGGTAGGAGAAACTGTTTTATCTGCAACGTTTGAAATTTTACAGTGAAAGTATATTCATGAATTACATGAGTTTTGGGGAAAAAAATCTTTTAAAACTGGAATTTAGGGATTTTAAGGCAGAAGGCTGTAGATAATCTTGAGAACCTTCCGTTTTGCTCGAGACTAGCTCCCTGTCCTGCAGTAAATGACGCCGAATAAAAGGGGGCATGGGAGGGGGGCCAGCGACCCACCTGAGGCTGGCTCGTCCATGGAAAAGGCCTTGTTCTCCACAAACATGCTCTGGCCTTTCTGCTCCTTCAGGATGGTCTCGTAGCCCACGCCCCGCGTCGGGTACATGTCCCCCTGGTAGCTTTGCTCTGGGCTGGGCTTGGTCACCTGGGAGATCTCAGGGATGACATAGAAGAGGACAAAGGCCCAGGCATTGGCGCCGAGGGCAATGGCCAGCGTGGGGTCATCCCAGGTGGGAGTGTTGTGCTGCTTGTTGCCGTAGGTGTACATGACAATCCACACCACCCAGATGGCGATGGAGGTGGAGGTGGTGAGCAGCACAAAGACCCCGTGCTTCCGCCAGCGCTTGAAACGGCCACACAGGGCGGGCCAGGCCCCCATGAAGGCGCCCAGCAGCAGCAACATGACATAGATGAGCGCCATGACAAAGTCCATGTTGGCAATGGTGCAGGTGGAGACGGCGGCCCAGCCGGCACTGCCATTGCCCAGGGCGCCCGTCTCACCACCTCCCCGGACCAGCGTAATGATCAGCCACTCCATGTTGATGATCACCTCCACAAGGGTCAGCAGCAGGGCCATGGTGAAGATCACCCAGCCCCGGGGCCCATGGTTCTTCCGGGCCAGGAAGTTGAGGGCAAAGACGTGGGCCACCAGGCAGGAAAAGCAGATGGCAAATAGGACCCCAAAGAGGAACTGGCGCGAGGCACAGGTGGAGAAGTTGGGCTTCACCACGCAGGCAAAGACGAGGCAGAAGAGGCCCAGGGTCCCCAGCAGGAAGAACACCTGGGTCCCCAGAAGACTCCGCTTCTTGGTGTCCTGCACAAAGGGGAGGCTGGCCACCAGGATGATGGTGAGGACAAAAGTGGTGACAATGCCCGCCACAGCAACTGCCTCCAAGATGATGCCCCAAGCCCCAGAACGGTCACACAGGTTGTAGTAGAGGGGGTCGAGGTCCGGGCTGCAGCCAGGTGGGGCGTGGTCCTGGGCCTGGGCCCCTGGGAATAGGAAGAGAGGCAGTCCCAGGCACGTCAGCAAGGCTTTGCGGATGGCCATTCTGGCTCTGAGGCCAGGCTCCAGCTGGGTCCCTAGAGACAGAGGAAGAAAAGACAAAATCAGTCCTCCAAGGCCAGACTCTGCCACACAAAGTGCTGCTTCCCCCATCCCGATCTGAGCAGATGGTCTAAGTTGATTATGACTGTCCCTCTGGGCTTCAGAATCCTTCTTAACACAGAACTCCTGGCAGGCATTATCAATTGCCCAGAGAGGCAAATGAGAGGAAACCCATTTGTCATCCCTGTTCCTAGTTACGGAAAAGAAGGAAACCGTCACTGAATTTTCAGGTCCCTTCCCCCGCCACCAAGCATAACCTGGGTCCAAATACTCCCTGAGCTCCTCCAGCTGGGGTGGGGGGTGAAAGGGCCTGTGAGCAAGTCAAAACCAAGCATGCCAGAGTTCAAGAGCCCAGATGCCCCCTCAGCTCTGTCCCTGGGATGCCTAAGTCCACGGAGAATCAGCCAAGCATGCATTCACTCCTTCAACAAATATTTAACAAGCACCTGTGACAGGCAGACCCTGCCGCCAGAAACAATGAGGAGACAGTTGAAAAGTTCTGTCAACACTTGCCCCATTCCTCCCACCACCTCCCTTTTTTGCCTTCATTTCCCCACTTTGAGTGCCAGCTCCTCTTCAGAACCCAAAGTTCTTTGTCTAGCTCTGTCGCTGGAGTCAAGGATAAAATAAACGAATTTCCCAGCTAGGGAGTTAATGACTTAATGCAAAAAGTCTGCAACGAGGCATTAACATTTTAAAAGCAAGAAAGGGCAGGGGCCTAGCAAAAGCCAACGGAATTAATCTCTAAAGGAGGCCTTGAAGGCATGGTAGCTAAGATAGGAGAGAGATCTGTATTCACCCCGGGAGGGCAACTTAAGACTCCCGGTCCTCACTCCACCCGTGCGACAGCGGCTCCACCAAGTGCTGTAGGTCCAAAGAAAACCACCCCCCTCTCCTCCACACCAACTGGATCTCCCTTGGGAAGTGGAGGTAAAGAATGTGGCAGGGTGAGAGAAATTAAAGACCAAATCAGAGTGTTTTCCAATCAAAGATTGTAAATTCACCTGGAAAACAAAATTTAAATGCTCTAAAAAGCAAGTTAGAAATTCCAAAGTTCTATGAAATGCAGGTATTCCACATTTAAATCACCCCTATGTTCGAGTCACTGGCGGTAACCCTGCCTGGTCCTCCCTCAACTCTGGGGCCCAGGAACTCTTCAGAAAGCGAGCAACCAAGCTTTCTGGGCTGAAAGTGACCGCTGGTGGAAGCTCGGGAAGGATGGCCGGACTCCTCCCTCCCCCCCCCCCCCCCCCCGTCCTCCTTTGGGGACATTGGCACAGTTGACCCTCTTATATTTTCACCATTCCCTGTAACTTAATTTCTCATAGGCAGACAAAAATCCTAAATCTCAGTCGATGGACACTGTGTCTCCACAACTGATAAGCAGACGGGCCCGGCGACTAAACCAGGAAAAATGAAACTTGTAAGTTAAGTGAAATCGACAATTTCAAAAAATTTGAAATTCGAAAAATAATCAATTTTCAAAGTCCTTTAGGATATTCTGCAAGCCCCTTGAGAACATTTTAGGTATCTCAGCTACCTCCTCATTTTTTAATTCAGCTTGCTTTTCCCCCAAACACCACCTACCGTTAACGCTTAATGTTAGCCTTCTTATGAGAATTAACTATTGTTTTCCTCAATAACTGGCACAGTAACATAACTAGTTTCTCTTGATTTCCAATGCAAAAGCTTAGTTCCCCTGCATTGTGACTTAAGCTTTTGTAGGGGACTTTGTGTACCGTAAATCAATGAGGCACGAGCTGTATTTACAAGGGCTGGAGAGAAGAAAGAGAGCCGGGATGGCTAACGGGTAAGGAGGAACACTGAACCATTCCCGGCCGGGCAGACCCTTGATGGTAACAGGCTCTGAGATCCTAAGCACTCAGCCCCATCTGGGGTGTTTTTAGCCCACAGCAAAGCAGGCAGAACTTGGGGTGAAGTGGGAGATGTGGAACCGACCCCCGGGAGCAGCCGCCCAGCCTCCGCCTCCAGGGATCTGCACACCTTCAAGGCTTCTCACCCACCTCCCCCTCCCAGCTCCCAGTTTAGAACATGCAATTATTCTAAACCCGCAAATATTGACAAGGCTCAGTTGTTGTCAGAGTAGTGGAAAATACACAGATGAACACACACAGTCCCTGACTTGACGGCACGTAAAATCTGAGAAGACAGAGAAGGTAGGTCTCCAAGACACTATACAAGGTAGAATATGGTAAGTGCCACACAACAGAATTTACCTCTGGGACAGAAAAAGGTACTAGAGGAACACAGAGGAAGCTCTTCCAGCTGAAGGGGTCAGAAAAGACAGAATGGAGAAGACCTTTCAACTGTATTCAGTATTTAATGAAAATGCACCACGTTCCAGATACTCCAGCAAGACGGGGGACACAAAGAAGCTAAGCCTTGAAGAATGAGCAGGTGAAGGGGGCAAAAAGGAGAGGGAGAAAACATAGCACAAATAAAAGCCTTGAGATGAGCTCAAGTTCAGAGCAAGAGAGAAAAATCAAGTTCACCAAGTAGGAACTGAGTTTTGCAAAGGGAGTTTACGGCTGGCTGGCGACAGATGAGAAATGCTACGGGGAAGAAGTCTGGGGCATTATTCTAAAGGCAACGGGGAACCACTGAAGGCTGTTTTTAGGATGATGGAGGCATAACCAGGGTTGTGCTTTAAGACTTGTGTCTGGCAAAAAGCACAGGCAATCGATTTGTTCAGAACACATTCACCCTGGTTTAAAGATCGAGGCCAAAGGTCAGGCACAATGGCCAGATCCAAGAAATCCTTTCCAAGACAAAATCTAAGGCCTGGTTGGAGGTGGAGGGAGAGGATGCTAAAACCATGCTACAAGTTCAAATCTGGTAATGGCCCCGTCATTACAAAAGACCAAGATAGGACCCATTGAACCCGTCTGCCACTCAATCTTCTGGATCCATCTGGCTCTTAGAAATCTGTGCCTGTACCCCCTGGATCCAGCAGCTCACAGGCACTTGGTTGGGCCAGGTCCACAGAAGCTCCATAGCTCTCACCCCAATTTCCTCCTAACTTTGCTGTTGACCCTGGACCTCACCCTTCAAGTCTCGTGTCTGTCGGCCCCACCAATATGAGAACTTCCAGGGAAGTTAACAGGAGCCTGTACCTGTCCCTCCCCCTGAGCCAGGCACCACGCTGCCCAGCGGCCCTGAAACTCCCCAGCCCCAGAGGAACCAAACCAGTCCCACCCTGAAATGTCCCATCCCTCCATTCCCCTGAAAATGGCAGGGAGAGTGGGGAGACAGGAATACACCAACTCAGGTGGGGAAATCGGGCCAGATGGGGCTGGCTCTTGTCCACGGCCTAGGACAGCGACTCCTGGAGGCCAGCAGGAGACTGACTTAAACAGAAGGAAGCTCAGAAGAGCTCAACCCAAGCCCTCCAAACTCCAGAAGTGCAGATTCAGCCAGTCCCCTGATGCCACTTAAGGTGGTGGCAAAGGGGGAAGGACTTTGATGCAAAGGACCAGCTCCTTCTGGAAACTCGCCCTCCTGCGGGGCCCTAGGGACTGCACTCCAGCCCAAGTCTTCTGAGATGGCTGGAATCGTGTGTGTGCGTGTGTCTCCCCCACCAGGCTGTGAGGTCTGAGGGTGAACAAGCCTTGTCTGTCTCAGGGTGTCTGCAGCATCTAGCACCATGCTCGAACACAGCAGGCATTCGAAAATCACTCATCGAACGGACTCGGCGTCCGTTCCTCCCCGATCCCACTCCTGCCTCCTGCATTTTGGAGTCACATCTTCTGCTTTAAGGTTCTCAGTGGCCCCGAGGAGGGGAGAGGGAGGGGGACCTCCTTCTGCCCCATGAATTCCATCCCCCCCCCACCACTGCTGCAGGCCAGCCCAGCCTCAGATTATTTTCTAGACAAAAGGGCCCTTTTGCTTCACCTCCCTGGAATCGATAATACAAATATTTTTAATCACCTCTGAAATCGGCCTTTCCCCAGGCTCAGCCACTCAGCCCCCAGCTCTGGTCTGAGTCAGCCCAATCCAGTTCCAGAACCCCATCCCTCCCTCCCTCCCTCCCTCTCCAGGAGCAGAGTGGCCTCAGCAGTGCGGTGGGCTCAGAGGCCGAGCCAGCCTGGACTGGCTCCACCCAGGAAGGAGGAGGCAGCCAGGCCCCCTCTGCCTTGTGCGGCCACCATCCACACAACAACCTGAGAACCTGAAAAGGGGGTGCCAAGGGCTTCACACCGCCACCCAGGTCTGTCTCCCAAGCTCGAGAGCAACACAGAGACCCACAGCCAGTGGTTACCTTCAAGGGTGCCAGGACCCTCTGGGAGGCACCCAGGCTCACCCAGGGATGCCACAGAGCATCTGCCACCACTCAGCAGCCTATCAGGAGAGATGGATGGACTCACTGACAGCTTTCCCACCTCCTCCCCTTCTCTCATCCATCTCCTCCGTTCTCTCGGCCAGTTGGGTCCTATCATCTTACTCCTCTGTCCAGGGGGCTCTGGTGTTTAAACCAACCAATAAGAAGAGGAACCCGAGATGCCTGTGCCTGTAAGGAGTTACCTCAGCACCCAGGTTGAGGGACTTCTGGAACTCCACCTAGACGTCCACACTGAGTGTGGGTATTTGGGCCCAAGTTCCCTGAGCATTCTGAAACTTGGAAGTCTCAATCCACAGGCCGCTCTGGAATGCGCCCCACTCCCCAACAGCACTCCCTCCTCCAGCCACAAATGGAGGCACGTGGGGGAACCTTCAGGAGCATGAAACCCTATTTCAACACATTCTGATCCCTCTGCTTTAGGATCGAAATGGCGGGATGTTTAAATGATTGAGTTTTCCAGGGTGTAAAGCTGCGGCTGGGGATGGAGGATGCTGCAAAGGGCCCTGGAAAAGCCACGGGCGCGGGCGGGGGGCGGGGCGGTGGGTCGGATCTAGAAGCCAAGCTTCTGAGCTTCTGTAAGTAGAGGCTCTTTGATGGTCTGAAATTCCAAACTTGCCGCAGGAAGATTCTGAGCCATCCACTCCCCACTCCCCTCCCCTCCTCTCCCCACTCCTGGCGTCTACACAGGCACTCCCCTGGGCGTCACTCCCCACCTCTCCCCACTCCTGGCGTCTACACCGGCGCTCCCCTGGGCGTCACTCCCCACCTCTCCCCTCTCCTGGCGTCTACACCGGCGCTCCCCTGGGCGTCGGAACAGAAAAAGCAGGGTAGCCAGCCTCTCTCCCCCATCTCCGCTGGCCACAGAAACCTGCCCTCCTCATCCACCGGCAGCGGGGGTGGAGGGGGCACCCCTTGGAAACCCCGATGGTGGAGTTCTTTCCCCGCCCCCACTCGGGGCCGCAGCGCCGGGCTCTCCCCACACCCAGTCCCCAGCCTGCTCGGGTTTGGAAACTTTCTGCACCCGAGCGGAGTTGGCGAGGCATCCTCCGCCCTGCGGTTCCCCACCCCCGGGCCTCTGTCCTCGCCCACCCCGCGCTGGCCCGACCCGACTCTTCCGGGCGCCCAAGGGAGGGCGGAGCGGGAAGGCAGCAGCCCTTACCTGGGACGCGCCGCCGGCCCGGCTCCGGCGCGGGGTTTGGGGCCACCTCCAGCCCCTGGCGAGGCGCGGGCGGGGCGGGGGGAACTGAGCGCAGGGCGCCGGGCCAGGCCCAGCCCTGGCCTGGGTTGGCGGGCCCGGGCGGGGACTCAGGGCGCGGGGCCTGCCTCTCCCTGGGACCCGGGCTAAGCTGGCTGCGCTCGGTCGCCGGCTCTCGCGCTGGCCCCCCGGCGCTCGGCTCCTTTCTCTCGGCGAGGGTGGGCCGGCGCCTGCATCACCGTGACATCACCTCCATTCAGGCGCTTATCGGGCGCCCGCGGCGCTCCAGGTATGTGCAATCCGTTTACACAGTTAACAAAGCACGCCCGGCCCTCCCCCTCCGACTCACCTCCAGGCTCCAGCGCACTTTCCGGCCGGGGAGGGAGATCAGAGTTTCTGGCGAAGCTGGCGTGTGGGTTGTTGCTGTTTACTGCCACGCCCCCGCAACGGGCGCGCGCACACTCCCGCGCACTCACTTTCTGGACCTGTCTCTCTCTCCGGAAAGGGGGTTGGGGTGGAGGCCAGCACACCTCGCGAGCAGCCTCTCCCTCCCCGCATGTCCCAGCGCGCGCACACAGACACGCGCGGGGGCCACCTTGTTGCGTCTCTCCGTGGCGGACACTTAGCCTTTGTCACCTTCGTCCTGGCTCTCCCGTGAGACACACGCCGGGCACAGTTGGCTGCTCCGGGCTGGAGCAAGGCGTACACTCAGACACAAAGTCTGTCTTTGTCACGCCTTCTGCGCCCCGTCCCCTCCCCGAGCTTGCACACGTGGACGCACCACACACTGAGTGTCTGCCTCTTGCATGCGCGGCCCTTCCCCGGCATACGGGTCCCCAAGTGTGTGTGAGAACGCCACCGCGCACGCCCCTAATGCCGTGGGCCGAGCCCAGAACCCCTCGGCACCGTGGGCAAACTTCGCCCCGGCCGGACTACCCCGCGCCTGGGCTTCCTGAGACCGCTCCAGACACGGTCCAACTCAGCGCGCACTCCCCTCCCCGCGTCCGGGTTCCCTGTTCCGACTTGTCCTAATTAGCCTTCACGGTTCTGTCCCCCGGGGTACAGTGTTTAACCCGGCCCCCGCGGCCTCCACTCCGGGACGCGACGGCCCTGACTCTGAGCACTGCCGCTCCCGCCGGCCTGGCTCTTGTCCACGAGTTCGGGGGCCCCTCCCTGGGATGGGTCTGCGGGCTGCCACATTTTCCCCTCCCGGCCGAGGAATCAGCAGAGAAAGAACTGCAGAAAGGGGAAAGCAATCCAGTCTTGGGCCTCCCCAGCCCAGTAAACAAGAGGAGATTTTCCGGCCGCCTTCTCCCGGGGCTGCGGGCTCCGCGGGAGGTGGGCTGCGCAGTGCCGGGGCGCCCAGCGGGGCCTAGTTAGCAAGCGCTGGAGGCTCCGGAGGGGCCGCGCGCACCGAGAAGGGAGAGGTTGTTGGCCCTGGCTGGGGCCCAGGGGACGCGGAGGGAGGGCAGGGCGCCGGGTCTCCGGGGTGCCCGTTCCCGTGACGCGGAGTTGCCTGGGGGATCGCCAGCAGCGCGGTCGGAGCCACCCGGCGGCGGGGTGTGTTTGCTGAGCTGGGAGCGCCTGGCATGGGGTGGGGGAGTGGGGGGGAACCGCAGGACGGGGGGAGGGGAGGCAGCCGGTCACGGACTAGGGGGTAGCAGGGGGAGGCAGGGAAAGAGGAGAGGTACCTCCCGGGCTGTTTGTTTTGCGCCCCAATCTATGACGACCAGCAGTGAAACTCTATGAATCACTCGGACCTGCCCGAGCGATAAACCTCGGGCCGGCTCCTCCCCTCGCACACCGACTTGTCGGACGCCAGGAGGGAACGTCTGCTTAGCCGCCGGAGCTGGCGGTGGGGCCCTGGTTTTCTAGAACCCTGTATGCCTTCCTGCGCCTTGCGCTCGCTGGCTGGTCTGGGAAACGCGGCCAAGATTCAATGGTTTCAGTTCGTTAAGCGGAAGAGCGCGTTTCTGCTGCAAAGCTGTGCTATTCTCCTGGTCTCCCTCCTCTAACTCCACCCCCAACCCAGTCTCCAGGCCCCCGTGTGAGGGTGTGCAGGGCCTCGTAAGGTCCAGGCATTTGGGCGCCCACCCTGGAAAGGCAAGCGGAGGGTCAGACCTAAGACCAGCAAGTCGCTCAGTGGTTTTCATTAAAGAGGCAACCAATGCTGGAGTGGGCTTAGAGGAGGGGGCGCTCATTAGCATATGTGAAATGCCAATTCGAGAGCCAGGGGGCGGTGGGGCAGAGGAAATGTTCTCGAGCCTGGGAAGCTGACCTCGTGGAGGGGCAGGGGGAAGTGGGTGCCTGGCCACCCACTGGGAGTCGTTGGGGAAAGAGGCCTGGACACTGCAGCGGCTGGGCCCTGCCCTCCGCCAGCCCTGAGCGGTACACAGCAGCGGAAATGGAGGGCGGTTTTCTGAGAACTGTTCCCTCTTTCTCTTTTCACCTATCTCACTCGGGAACAGGATGCCTTCAAAACAAAGCAAGAGCCTTGGGGCAGGTGACCTGGGCCTGGTGCGTCTCCTTTAGTCCCCTGAGGCCTGTGCCCTGCTCAGGGGTGGGGAGACTGGAGGTGGCGTTCAGGAGAGCCCCTCCCCCACTCCCGCAGTCAGATGGCCTGGGGGCTGTTGGACACTAGCCGGCTTGCACCGGCTAGAAGGGAAGTTCTGTGGGAGAGGCTGCCGCTTTCCAAGACTCCAACTTGAGGGTCACAGCCGTCTCCAAATGCCCTTCACCGGATTTAATAACCCAGACACATAGAAACCTTTATGAATTCCCATTTTCACCAAAAATAACACTTTGAGAAGTGGTCACCTATGGGGAGTACCCACCCACTGTGCAGAGAGATCCTGGAGCAATGGGCTGTGGAGGAGTGTGTGTGTGTGTGTGTGTGTCCCGATAATGTGCTGGGTTCCTGCTGGCCACTCAAGCTACTTTATTCATCAAACTCTTTCTTCTTTGTACTTCAAGAGTCTAAGCTGCTGTCCAGGCCCAAGGGTCGGGAGCCACTCTGCCACCTGCCAGCAGTGTGACCTGGGCAAGTCACTTCATCTCTCTGAGCCCCACTTCCCTCTACTATGAAAAGTTCATGACACTGGCCAGCCCGTGGTGGAGTGGTTAAAGTCCTGTGCGCTCTGCTTCACTGGCCCCGGTTCACAGTTTTGGATCCCAGGCACGGACCTACACCACTCACCAGCCATGCTGTGGAGGCAACCCACATACGTAATAGAGGAAGATGGGCACAGATGTTAGCTCAGGGCTAATCTTCCTCAAGCAAAAAAAAAGGAGGAGTTTGGCCAAGTGGTTAAGTTTACATGCTCCACTTCGGTGGCTCAGGGTTCGCTGGTTCAGATCCTGGGTTCAGACCTACACACCACTCATCAAGCCATGCTGTGGCGGCATCCCACATAGAAGAACTAGAATGACTTACAACTAGGATATACAACTATGTACTGGGGCTTTGGGGAGAAAAATAACAAAAAAAAAAGAGGAAGATTGGCAACAGATGTTAGCTCAGGGCCAATCTTCCTCAACAAAAAAAGCATACCTTAAAAAGAAAAAGAAGGGGCTGGCCCGGTGGCACAGCAGTTAAGTGTGCACATTCCACTTCGGCTGCCCAGGGTTTGCCTGTTCGGATCCTGGGTGTGGACACGGCACCGCTTGGCAAGCCATGCTGTGGTAGGCGTCCCATGTATAAAGTAGAGGAAGATGGGCACAGATGTTAGCTCAGGGCCAGTCTTCCTCAGCAAAAAGAGGAGGATTGGCAGCAGATGTTAGCTCAGGGCTGATCTTCAAAAAAAAAAAAAAAGAAGAAGATTGGCAACGGTTGTTAGCTCAGGGCAAATCTTCCTCCCCCCCAAAAAAAGTTCATGACAACACCACCCCCACATCTTGCTGTAACATCCGGATGGAGATGCTTCTAAAATGTTCCTCACACAAGCCTGGCACTTAGAGCTGCTCAGTGGTCAGCCTCTCCTTTCCTGGTCCACCCCCTCTGAACTTTAGTCCTGTCAGTTAAAGAGACCTAATAGTCTTTCACCCAAACTCTTGTAGAAGCTGCTTCTCTGACGTTTTTCCCGTTCTGTTTTACCATTGTCAGAATGGCCTTGCCATGCCATGCTCTGGGCCTTCGCCTGTGCTGTTCCTTCTACCTCCAACATCCTGTCCCTGCCACCCTCCCTCCTCTGTCTGACCAAAATTTTTTAAAACTCTGCCCTGCCTCAAGGCTCGGCTCCAATGTCCCTCCTCTGTGAAGCTTTCCTTGCCTTCCCCAGAAAGAACCATGTGAGCCCTCTGCTGAGCCAGGATCTTTTATGCATTTGTTCATCATTTATCCTAGTGTATCTTAATCAGACTTCTCAGTGGTCGTCTCCGGGTTACACTGTGCCCTTCTCCAGAACAGGAGCCTGTCTCTCTCATCTTGATGTCCCCGGCACCTGGCGCAGAGCGGGGCATGCGGTAGATCCCTTGTTCTGTGGTCGGAACCATAGCAGCAAGAGTCGAGGCACCCCCCTGGAGGGTAGCCCCATGCTGACCATCCCCCTCACAGCGAGGGCCTTGCAAATGCCCTGCCCACCTTCCTGGGTAGCAGGCAAGCCCTGGTGCCTGCTGGAGAGGCCCACCTCGCTCGGGCCAGAAATGCCCTGCCTTCAGAGTACAGGGTAGGGGGCCTGGGCAGCCCAGCTTGGGGTGCTGGAGGAGGCCACTCCAGAGGGCTAGAGTTCAGTTATGCTCCCCAGAGAGACTGCCCTTGGCCTGCTGGAGTCCTGGATCGAAGTTTCAGCTTGCAGAACCTCTTTCAGGAGCCACTTCCTCCTCGGGGAGGTGGGAGGCTCGCTGCCCCCTCCTCGGGGTTCAGTGCCTGGCCCCAGTGGAGCGAGAACAGTCCCTTGCTGGGCTGAGGGTGGGGCTCTTGGCTCCCTGACAGGTGGGTGCCTGGAATCTTGTGCCAGGCTGCTGGGTGCCCCACCCCCGGCTGGTAAACAGATTTTGCATTTGGCCTCTTCTTGCTCCCAGGCCTGGCATTAACCGCTTACTGCCCAGGCTGCAGTGTCTGGCTGAGTCTCCTTTTCTCTTAGGCTCATAGGACTGCCTGCTCGGAGCAGCAGGGACCACCTGGTTTTCTGAAAGGACCCAGGTAACAAGGTGGCTCCTTGAGAAGCAGGAAGCCAGGGGCCAGGGAGCAGGAGAGTTAAACCCTCATTCTCCACAACCGGCTGCCCGTGGGTGATCCCTCTGGAAATGTACCCAGAAGGTGGCTGGGGCAGAGCCGGCTGGAATGCCACCTGATGCTGAGCCCATCCACAGTGGCCGCAAAATCTGCTTCTCGCTAACCCCGCTCCTGTCCACGGCTCAGCAGCCACTGACTGACTCCCTGTGGAAGGAGAGAACTGGGCCTTCTGAGCCGCCCAGGTCTGCACAGCCTCCAACCACAGACGGAGTGAATCTAGGAACCAGGGTCGAAGCCGACAGTCCAGGGATTCAGGTCGCTCAACCCCCTCCCCCGCTTCCAAAAACAAAGAAATGTGTACAGAGGCAGCGTTTAGCTCGCTTCCAAAAACAAAGAAATGTGTACAGAGGCAGCGTTTAGCTCCCCCTTAGCTTCAGGAAGAGTCTTGCCCCAAATCGGAGAACATTTCGGGGGTGGGTAAACCCTCTACCTCCCCTCAGCGGTTACAGGACCCCAAACTGATGACCCCTGCCTGCAGTCTCCCTGCCATTCCCCAACACCTCCAGTCACCACCCCCATCCAATGTGGAGCATTCCCCGACTT